ACTTCAGCCTCTCCTGGACACCATGGCTGAATCGGTAGAGGCGTCAGTTTAAGTCTGACACGATCCAGCGTATCCAAGCCTTGGTAAATGACGGAATCATTCGAAGACCGAAAGCGGTTCCGAAACTAGCTCCTGTATCCATCCCCTTTAGTCTGCCATCTCACTGCTTTCATCAACCGAGGGTCAGCGAGCAAGCTCTCTGTGATTACAGACATGTGTGTTCCATCCAAAGCATTAGGACCTACAACCCACCCCCCTCCGCTCCTTAGTGGTAGCGGCATGCTCCCGTGACAACACTGAACCCCCCTCCCCCCCACCCCGTTACCGGTGACGATCTGCAGTTGATGCACAACGTGACTCCGGTCGAGGTGAATAACAAGGACCACTTGTGAGCCGGTCTGCGTGGGCTCAAAATGACGCTGATCAAGGCGCAGACACGGAGCAAATAAATAACATTTAGCGAGGACAGCAAGCCGGGGATCAAAGTACAGGCACGAATAATCCGGCACACACTGTGCGCGCGCGCGCGACGTCAAGGGCCAAGTAAAAATTCGCAAGGTCATCAGCAATGCCAATCATCGAGTACGTGCCGATGATGGTGATGATGACGATGTTTACGAACCGGCTGGTGGTTGTAGCGGCTGAGGTGGCGGTGTATCTCGATCTCATTACCATCCGCGTTCTCATACGCCTTAATCGCACTTTCGCAGCATCTTACAGCCCCGAAATCTGAGACTTGAAGATGTAGTGTGATTATTTACCGTACTGACAAAACAGGTGCTAGCTAAAAGCCCAGATGCGCGTGCTTCGTCGATCTTTTGACGCTGCCTGACGCAGCTGCGAGGAGTTCGGCCCATTAATGGGTCTCCCAGCTTGCCCCGTGTGTTTTCTGGCATATGAACTCCAGTTTCACCTTGCCTTGTTTAATTTCCGAGGAAAGTAATGCGCAAGCTTGGAGTAGATTCGTCGGAATAAACCTTTCTAGACACGTTCCGAAATTCGATATGAATATTTGAGCTGGAATCCATCAGCTACTGTGGAATAACCGCCCAATATTACCGCGGAATATTATGCCATCATTCCGCAGTAGCTGATAGATTTCAGCTTAAATATTCCTATCAAATTCCGGGCTGTGCCGGAAAAGGTATCTTCCGAAGGATTTACTCCATGTTCGCGCACTAATTTTCTCGGTAATTAAACAAGGCTTGAATATGTGTCTGAGTTGTGCAATCGGACAAACATTGCTATACTTGGGAGGGTTTTACGGCCGATTGCAGTCAGAATTTGACGGGAGAAGGGGAAATTAGTTGTACGACAAAGTTGTATTACCTCAAATCGACTTGAAATACTCGGTTCTTAAGAAAATTAAAAAAATTTCATGCCAAAACTCCAAAAAGCTTCAGAGTTCTATGACTTTAAGTAATCTTACGTCGTCGGAGTAGCCCAATAATAATAATAATAATGTGATTATTTCGGCTTCTTAGTTTTCTCAGAAATGATTCGCTAACTTGGAGTAAATCAGCTGAAATGAAGATTACCATCTATGCCGCCAGTATGGTAAATCCAGCAACAGGACAATTATTTTCGCATTCAGTAGTGCCTACTATCTCCCTATGTAGTAATACGGACAGTGTTTGCCCGAAAATGCACAATTTGGTGTGGAGTATACATGAATGTTTCAAGTAGCATTTAAACGCCGGAAAAATCGTGAAATTGTGTCACCAGTGCTAATTGTAAAAGCCTTGGACAGGGTACGGACACAGGGGGCCCGTACTACGGGTGATCTTGCGCAAAATTCCAGAGAACTAGAGCTAATGTTGTGTTCAATGTCAGGATTACGGTCAGGGAGATATCCTCGTCGTAGAATTGAGCGCAGTCACATGTAGTAAGGGAGGAGACGGGTTCGTATTCCCGTGTCCAATCAAGTTTTGTTTGGTAAAATCGCCCTTATTTTTCATTGTGGTAGAAGTTATCAGCCGGATGCCAGAGCAGATGTTCAATATGTTGCGACCCCCGGGACGCTTTTTCTTCAAGTAAGGTTAGGGTCTTTGTAAGCTTTCTTCCAAATGACAGCTAGCCGCCTAAAGAAATTGACTTCTCAGCATAAAACGACCAATGGGTAAAGTGTTAACGGTCATTTTACTTATTCTGATATCAAGTGATGGGTGCCAATGGGAAAGAACGCATAAAGTGGGGATTCAAGTCCATACACTCAGTTGGGTATGACACCACCCTGTCAGTTACGCCGCCCAGAAAAGCCTAGAAAAGGCTTTGTCACGGTATTTCATAGATAAAGACAGAGAGTTTATGGTTTTGCGCGTCCAGCGATAAATGTCGCAGTTCTGTCCATTTCGTGTTATTTGCTAACCCCAAATCCACTTACATTAAGAACAAAATCTTCTACGGATTTACCCTATTGATTTTATAGCAATCATCAAATGTCTCACGCGGCATCCCTTCAGCTTCTATACTAGGCATCACATAAAAATGCACTGTGAACACCAACTTTCCCAGAAATTTCCAAAACAGCCGTATGAGAACATGCTAGAGCATTTCATCGGCTTCCCTAGCAATGTCGCCTAAGGACAACAGGAGCTGCCTGCTAGCACCGTTGCCGCTTTAGGGAACAAAAACTGCACGGAAGTTGCAAGACCGAAAGCGCTACTGCTTTATTGAAAGGGACGCGATTGCCGATACGCCACCCGCACGACGACGTCGGCGTGTTATGGTCATTGGGTCAAGGGGGCCAAGGGGGGAGGGGTGGCATAGGCTGTGAGGGATGTATGTAAGTTGGGTACGCTGAGCACACATCACTGCCACCAGGAGGTTGGGGCGGCGTGCAATGATCACCTGGGGTCGGCGTTGGCCACGGAAGACACAGCACCCGTGTCAACGCCTTCTGACAATACATCACTGGATTGTCTAGCTGTATAGCCGCCGCCTCGGCTGTAGGTAGCACCTGTTGGCGTATATCTCTGGAGAAGATTGCTGGTGTCCGGCAGGCAACCTGAAAGGCTTCTTTGGCATCGATCTGGTGATCGTATCGACAGGATGTGCGATAATAGAACTCGAAATCGATGTGTTTTCACCTCCACCTAGCCGGGCCAGTATGTGTTCACGTACGTCACTTCCAGGTGCCTCGTTGTACGGCCAATGTAGCCCTCTCCACAGGAGCAAGTGAATGCGTAAATATGAATCCATGTGGCTTGTAACGGTAGTCTGCCTTTATCTCCCAGTAGCTTCGTCATGGAAAAAGGCTTCTATCTACTCAAGAGTAAGGATACCTGTCAGTGACTAAGAGATCTCAATGCACTTAACAAATGTGAACTCAAGCCTAACACTTTATGCACATGAAACGAATTTTTCTGCCGACAGCTTTGGAGACAACGGCATTTGCTGGCGTCTTTGAAATGTCAGTGAATACAGTGCAGTTTTGAGCGCCCTCAATCGACTGCCAGAAATGACGGGTTCATCAGAACGCATGTACGATGTTTCTTCCAGTTAT